AATGGATTTTTGTTACCGTTACTTGTAACAGGTAACGGCTTTCCATTACCCGTTACTGGTAACAGGTAACGGATTATCGTTGCCGTTACTTGTAACAGGTAACGGATTTTCACTACCCGTTACTGGTTACAGGTAACGGATTTTCGTTGCCGTTACTGGTAACTGGTAACGGATTATCGTTACCGTTACTAGTAACTGGTAACGGAAAACTGTTACTTTTCAGAGTAAAGTAACGGAAAGTAACGGGAAAGTGCCACCCCTAATCTGGATGTAACATGAGATCATGTTTGAACACAATACATATATGACCATAATAGTAACCCGTATGCGGTACAGGTATGGCAAACACATGATCACCTGTGCCCAACTCTTGAGCGTTCAGATAGCCAATACCCATAGGTGATGATTGAAGTAAAATGGATGCTTGCGCTATTTTATATGCGCATGCAGCAATCGCTTTCGCGTGCTCCTGTTCGAAAACTGGTTGCATTTTTCCCTCTGTTGCAGAAATTAAATCTTCAGGCTTCTCAGTAGATAAATGAAAATTCAGGATCATCGGATTCACTACTGCGTTTTGACTAAACGATTCTTGTTGGATGTTTGCCTTGACAAATTCGGATTGAATTAATTGCTTGGATGTATTCGTTAGCAATATTTTGGGCAGCAGGTACTTGAGTGTCTAGAATTTTTCGTACATCAATGTGTTGAGTAACTGTGTGCGCAGTAAATTTTGCATCTCTTAAATGAGACCGACTCATTACATGACCATGAACTAGAATTGACTCGAATATTTCTCGGCTACATCGATGAACCGGTTGAAGAGAACGAATCCAGTTTAAAATATTAGCGGATACTCGAATGTCTTTTTTTCCAAAATGGTCATTTATAGTTTGAATTATCGATTTTTGGTTTTGAATAAAATTAATTGATTTGTTGAGACCAAAATATCGAGTAACCCCTAACTGACTTTCGAATATTCCATGACGATATTTAATGTAATGATCACGTTTGTCGAGATCGCGACATTGGGTCGAGGAATAGCGACAGAGGAGTCGAATATCTCTTATTCCTGGATGAGAATATGTGCTCATGTGTTCTTCATTTGTTAGTTTTGAACATTTATCTTTGTCTGCACACACTATTCGAGCAACATGAATGGTTTCGAGTAAGTGTCTTTCACTCGTATCGTTACAATTTCTACCCCAAGGACAAATATGTGAATAGTCTAATATATGGTTTTCCGGCGATTCGTGTTCTTGTGTATTAATTGTTGATATTTCGGTATCTTTGTTGTTTTGCACATAATTGATAAACATTTTACATGCGTACGGAGTTAGGGAACATGGTTTTCTGAACGGATGTTTTTCGTTTTTAATGTGTTCTACATCGTGAAAATTGGCACAGTTTTTCCCTAATTCGCAAGGTAGTTTACCATGTCGAAATTTCCGACAGTGTTCATCAGCAGGTGCTGTACGAAGAGTATAGCAGCTAGGACCTTCTGGACAAGTTGGCAAATGACGAAAATTAAATGAATGCACATCACTTGTATCATGACAAAATCCGCCACGAGAACAAAATCCGGGATGCAAATACTCGCTCAAATGTTTCTGATCATTATCAGCGGCCTGCTTACATTGACCACCATCCTCACAATGGATTTGATGAATGAAAAAGAATAAATGGACATCAATGCTCATTTTACATGGCGCTCCATATGGACACATCGGGGGATGATAGAAATTATTACAATGGTCGGTTTCGTTTAGTTGTTTACAAGTGGCACCGTATTTGCACGGTTGACCTTCAAAAATGGTCAAATCACGAATTGTGAACTTATTCTGACTTTTATTGATTATGTCATACGGACCAATTTTCATGTTGGTAACATATGACGATGGTGGTGTCACGGTGAGATTGTTCAAAACACGTTTAAATGGGTCGAAATTACCCCAACGATTCAGTTGATTGCCTGTCATTAGAAAATTAGATGCAAGCGCCGCGCCAGACCAAACTTTATGAAACTAAGGTAGTATATGCAGAATTTCAATGCGAATGCGACAGCGGGCTTCTTATAATTACACCTTGAGTTTTTCATGTGTCACCACAGTCTCTACGATTTCTTATAGTGAATTTAGGCTGTTTTTCTGTTCTGTCACTTTTTTTTCTTCTCTCTTTTCTCCTTTCCATGCGCACATTTTATCTGTTTTTTTCTTTTATATAGGCAATACATTCGACCATCGAATAACTCGATGATAGAACAAAATTTATTCTAAGTTTAGTTTCTTTTAGACTGCCCTCTTTAAAATTACACAAGTTCGAAATTCTTATTCCCTATCCGAGCATTTTTCCAGGATCTACCTATCGGCTAAACTTCATGTTTGGGAACTTTCAAAACACATGGAACATAGGCTATTGATCACGATGAATCTTATGGCACTGTTTGTAAACTATTATAGAAGTTCCTAGTGGTAAAACAGAATTCGCTATTTTTTTGAAGCTTTCTCGGAAAACAAACATTGCTAAAAGATTTACCGTGATCAATAACCTATGTTCTATGTGTTTTGAAAGTTCCCAAACATGAAGTTTAGCCGATAAATAGATCCTGGAAAAATGCTCGGATAGGGAATAAGAATTTCGAACTTGTGTAATTTTAAAGAGGGCAGTCTAGAGGCTCGAATAAACCTGTCAGAATTCAAAATACATTATTTCTCTGGAAATGGGGAGCTTTTAGATTTTGTTCGACAAGGTGCACCATGCTAGGCCTGATCGGAAGGTCTAATTTCTCCATAGATTTCTTTTTCAGTAGGTCTTCTATCAAATACTGGAAACCGCATAGTTCCGACTCTTTCGGTTAAAAAGTTATTCAAAAAATACTTTTTTCCAAACCTATTTTGAAATGGATAGTGGATCACTAAATTTTACGATTTTTCTCTGCTCTAACATTAAACATCACATAATTCATGAATTTATTATATTCCAAGAGAAATTTCGAGGTCGTATACTCAAATTCCCTGAACGCTGTCAGGGAATGTACAGATTCCCCAGGGAGTGTATAGATTCCCCAGGGAATGTGCACATTCCCTGTAACATATACACTGATATCTTGAAGATATACGTCGTGCATGTGCGAGAAGAGATATCTCCAATTTTACTAGATGCCTAATAAATTTTGTTCTATCTGTTATTCGATGGTCGAATATATTGCCTATATAAAAGAAAAAAACAGATAAAATGTGCGCATGGAAAGGAGAAAAGAGAGAAGAAAAAAAAGTGACAGAACAGAAAAACAGCCTAAATTCACTATAAGAAATCGTAGAGACTGTGGTGACACATGAAAAACTCAAGATGTAATTATAAGAAGCCCGCTGTCGCATTCGCATTGAAATTCTGCATATACCACCTTAGTTTCATAAAGTTTAGTCTGGCGCGGAGCTTGCACCTAATTTTCTAATGATTGTGGTCGTCGGTAATGGCAAAAATGATTTCTTTGAAAAATCCAGCATACTGTTCAATCACAGTTCGAAATATCATTGCAATATGGTTAGGTGGATTTCTGAACGCACCACAACCAAATGCAGATAAAATGAGACAATCGTGACCGTTAACATATGCAATAGCAAAAAGATTTTCATCTTTTTTCGAGTGTTCACAGCATACGTATCGGTTAATCGGTCGTTACTTGTGATCTGAGGATCTTTATAAGCGGCTATTTTTTCGCTTCTGTATTACTTATCAATCGTTGATGTTGAACGTGCGGATGATCGTGGTCGAGAAAATACTCTAAACTGATACAATAGTCTGATCGACGAAACAGATTTTCTTCTTGTGCGCCATCACCTCTTGGATAACCGCCACCTGGCGAAGTAGCATTTGCCATATTTAAAAGCAATGGATTGAAACCTTGCGCTGCTAAATTTGCATAGGACACTACACAATCTTCATTAATTATACGAACTCGTGTAGATTGAAATGGTATTTTAATAGTCGATTGTGAAGATAGCTTTAACAGTTTTGATTTGTGATTGTATACGATGGTTTTCATTTGCTGTTGTTGTAGTATTACCTCGGTTTTACCATCTTTTAACGAATATTTACCTTTTCGAATAGTAGCGAGTGTATTTAACATGACAGTAACTCGTAGCATTCGTCGAATAGTATCGTGCTGTTTGTTAGTATCTTTGTTTGATACAGCTTTAAACTGCTCTAACCAGATATCTGGATCCCATTTGTATTTGAATATTACATGATCATGCGCAAAAGCAGCAATATCCGGTTTACATTCAAGCATTTTTCTACCATACCAATTTTGTACATTGATAGTACGTCTGGACGGGTCATCAGTCATTGCAGCAGAATACGGTACTAGATGCAATGGTGAATGATCGATTTCTATTGCACCGACTTTTAAACACTTATCCAACACGGCTTCGTCGCCCAAGTAAATAACAGCTGCTGACTGTTCAGCAGAAATTAAATTAATCCTTCGTATGTTATTTTTAAATATTGGATGAATTTTAATCATGTCAATTGATACATTCATTGGAATATTTTTTACCACTAACCGACATGCTAGTTTCTCACCTTTAGGTATGTAGTGGCCAAAAACATTGACCAAAGTCATCGACATAAATTTTTGAGTACGTGCCAAGTTACTTCGATTTTTAGATGCTAAAATCACTGCTGTTCCTGATTCTTTACTCAATTGAATGAACAACGACGATTTGAGTTGTTTCATAGAACTTGATAAAGTCTTTTCTTTAATTGTTTTGTATAACTGTTCTGCTTTTTCTTGACACATATCCTTGTTCATTCGTTCTTGTTCTGTCATATCGAGTTGCGTAATGATATAACAGAATAAAAGATCGGTATCTATATTCTCACTAGAATTGTGTATGTCTTCCAGGTAACTACAATCTCGATTGACATAAACATGTGCGATTTGTCCATTGCTAATAGTGAAAACCGAATTGTTAATTGCTGCTTGCAATTCTTCAGTCGAATAGGATGTGACTTTAATGATATTTGGAAAATAAACGGATAATGGTTGAAATGTGGACGTTCCTCCTCCTCCGAATACTTGACACCAACGATGTGAAAGTTCTTCTGCAGACGGCAGGTTTCGAATATTCTCAATATCGACTACAACGTACGATGTCAGCTGAATAGTCTCGACAAATGTGATTGTACCTTGATTATTCAGTAGCACGATACTACGGATATCGTTTAATAAGGTTTCCTTATCCTCATCATTGTTCAGTTGGACAATACCAACATCAAGATCAAAACTGCATTTGACTTGTTTCACTTGCAGACCATGAGCTACACGAAGACGATTGCGAATGGCTTGACTAAATTCACTCTCAGAAGTATTGATGATTAGTAGTTTTGTGTGTATACAAAATGGTTTTCTTCTTCTCGGACGACTTTTCGTTCTCCAATATTGCATATTTCACATCGAGCATTGTCCAATAAATTAACGAATGTACATTGATTACAAACCCATTGTGAGTTCGAGTCATACTTTATGGTTTCGTTATTGTTTACTGGACAAGTCCAATCTTTTTTCTCTTTAGCTAAGTCGTTAGGTTCTGCCGACTCAATAGGAAATGAATCAAATACCCTGTCCATATTTCTTCTACATAAAGGACACTTTCTGTTGCATTTTGTCACATTTTGCATAATACATTGCAGATGAAAACTATGACCGCACGTATTTTTTAATACCGCACATCCTACCTTATCTATTGAATTAAGACATACCGGACAGTTGGTCTCTTGATCCATTTGCTTAATCTATAGACGAAAATAATTTTGTAATAAACTTTTGTTCAAAAATAAGATAACAATTGTCGTGTCATCGGAAACAAATATATTATGTTACAATGTCACCATAAAATTCCCATCCTATTTGAATTATGGAATATTATTTTTCAATGACACCATAGAAAATGCTATGACAACATAGAAGCAAGTAGTTAAATTCCAACAAGAGATAAAAGTAATAGCACACACAGTCAACTATCACAGGTACTCTACCCCCGTACGAATAATTCAGTTGTTTATGTTTGCCTACTGAGTCAGCGTACTATTAAAGATAAGAGTAGAGCAGAAGACCATGATAAGTGAGATTGTTGAGCAATCTGAGAAAAAAGGAGAGTAAGAGTTAAAGAAGCACAGGAGTAAACAACACATTCCATTTCTAAAAGTATTCAAAAATTATGAAGTAATGTTTTGTTTCGCTCATCGGCTTAACGATATTTTAAAACATTTATTTTACGAAAAACGATTGAAACAAATGAAGAGTAAGTCATAAGCAAAACAACAACGCCAACACGATAAGCAACCTCAAATTGAGCAGACTCAAGTAAAAGCACTCAAGAAAGGATGTCATAGAAAACTCGAATCCGTGGTGGAACCATATCGTACGATTTCTCACCAAAGGTTGACACTGTATCCGTACTTAGCATAATTATGCATTTTAAAAGGAGCAGGGCAACTTCTTTTTTTAATTGGAACATGCAATACAGACTATTGAATTGGAATTGACTTAAACTCTTATAAAATTTTTATATTTTTGCTATCTGTCAGCTATGCACGCCGTTATGGTGCCCTATTAACAATTGTTTAAGAGTAGATAGTACGACAGCAGAATTATTCGCTTTTTCTACGCATCCTCCTAGAGGTTCTTTCCCAGGCACACCATGCGGAAGCTTTTATATGCGTTTCTTGAATGTGTCTCGTAGGTTTTTTCACTCTACTTGCGAAATTTTTTGATCTCTGTTATCACTTGTAATACACAGGATATCTCACTACAACACAAGCTAAACCCTCACAGGAAATGCCTAGGTTTCTTACTAGGGATAAGTCTTGACTAGATTTGAAACGTTTACTTTTCTATGTTTTGTAATCTACAAATGCTGTAAACAGAGTATATTGTTTAGTATGATATCAAGTTTATTGCTATAATTTCATAACTGTAGCTCTTACTGCTAGCGAGATATTAAGATTAATGTTTACTGTATATATTATTTCATATTTGAAATACTATTCTCATTGTTGCAGCCTGTTGTGCTATAAAAACACACTACGTAAAACACGTATCGACCTTCCAATTAAATGTTTAGATCTACTTGGAAATGTCCAAACAATATGAAATATTCCGTAGAAATATTCTAAGTTTACTGCTTATATCACCGCCTGTATGTGCAAATTCGTACATCCATTTCCAAGTATTTATTTAGCAAAAGTTGAGTTCACATGCAGATAGAAAAGAGAAAACAAACTTAAAAGCTTTGCGACAAAAGCGACGTAAATTAATACATCTCTTGTAAAGGTGTCCAACCTATATGAATTAATGTATACAATATGTATAAAAATAAAGGATGAAAAATAAGACAGCAAATACATCGATAGGCAGTGGACGCTATAAGTGCTGTGCCAAGTTAATGGCAAAACTTTTTACTGTGGGTGATACATCAAAATAGGGTGCTATTGAAATGAACTTTGAATTGAAATGAAACATAACTTCTAAAAACAGAAAAAATCCAACGAGTGATATACTAAAGATAAAGTACTCCATAAAGGAAAGAGAAAGAAATTGGCAGCAGCCTCACACACATACAGAAAAGGAGAGAAGAAATGATAAATAAGCCAAACATTCTCTTTCTTTCATATTCAACGTTTCGCTCTCCACACTAATGAAATAATGTCACAATGTTTGTCGACACAGAAAAAAATTAAAGCACATATTTATTGTGTTCGAACAAAGTTCATCAAAGTTTTATCTTTAAAATGTAACGCCCATTGTCTGGGTTCAATATTCAATTTTTCTGCGTAGATAGATAGAGAATTTTATGCTTTATCGATTTCACTCATTTACAACTGCATACAATGCTTCTGTTACGTCAAGTGGACTCATAATTAGTTCTCAACCGGCTTTTTAATTTTTTTCAAATTAAATTAATATTTTTACTTAATGGTTTCAATTGAGAAGTTTTGCTTATATACCAAAAAGATACAGAATTTAATTTTGTGTAAGATAACAAGACTAAAACCCTGGATTCAGAACGTTTTACTGCTTTTATAGTTAAAAAACTAAAGTTTGTGAAAAATAGGTTCAAAAGTTAGGTTCTTTTAAATTTATCAGTTTTTTCCACAGAGAAATCTTCCTAGAAGACTTAGAAGACCTGCAAAATTTCGGAAACTATGTGAGAAGATGCGGAATCAGCGTGGTTGAATACCAATAACCCACTAGGTTTGATGGAAAAGGCGGTTTGACAGTTGGGAACCTTCCCTCGTCAGTGATTCCATCAACTTACAGCAAACAGTCTGAGCTTTCAGAATATGTGACTGATTAGCGCCGTCATCACACTTTTCTCGATCATTGGTCATAAAAAATCCGTTTACAATCAAAATGCGATTTTCTGTCACGTGAGATTAAAAACGATGCCCAGACTGAACAGCTCATCTGAAAATGCTTAGGGCGAAACTTTGAGGCGAAACTTTGCTCCTTTTATCTGCTCATTGTGATCAACTACTAATTTAAAAGCCAGCATTTGAGAACTTACGGTTCAAGAGAAAAATGAAAATTAGTAGAAAAATGTCACGCGAGATTATTTGATAAATAACTACACTAGAACTAAAGACAAATTCGACTTATTACATGTCAATCGATTCGTCGTTCCAAGGGCTATTAAGCTCACTATGTGTTGTTTCTGGACTGTACTTTGCTAGTTAGAGAATAAGCGGAAAAGATTAGATATCGCATATATCTCCCTATCTTTTATGAAGTTACAAATCTCGTCCTCGTATAAGCTTTTTCTGTTCCACTGACGCTCCAGGTAGTTTCACGGATGCTTTGTTTATCATTCTGAGAGTCTTGCCGAGATCTGTCAAACGATATATCGCACTCATACTTTGGTGTTGCAGACGAAAGTTTTTCTACACATAACCGCAAGAATTAAGCATATGTCGAAAAACTCGCGTATTTCGGCCATTTTAATAGCGGTCCTCTCATATAGTATAACAAAATGTGCAACTCACTTTTCTCTGTAATCGTAAATTTTTTTTGACTATTTTTTCTCTGAACGGTAGATTAAAATTGCAATTGGCTCATATATAGTCGAACATATGCAGTGTTCGAAGAACATGTTTCCGGCCCGGAAAACCATACCAGAGGCATGCAGTATCTTTGTCAGAAAACTTCTAATTAATGTTTAACATCATTAATCGATTTTTCATAACTCATACGGTTAATCAAACTTTCTTTAATGACTCGGCGTCTCTAATGAGTTTCTAATGATAATGCTTCAACGTTTATTAACATCAAATAGATGCTGGTTATCAATCACATGTTTTGCCACATTTGCTAAATCGGCAATTTTTCGAATATCTCATTAATGCTCATTTATTCGTTCACATTTATCGAAAAATTCGATTTTTTGAGTTGATAGTCGATTTTTTAAAAAATTCTCCGGAGAATGTACTTAGCATTTTGGAACCTTTTGTCCGTTAGGAATTTTGCACATATAGATGCACATATAGATTCTAATCTGACGGTACCAGCTCATGAAACTGTTTCGCTAAAAAATATGATGAAAATGCTCAAAAAACGTCTGTTCTGCTGGGAAAGGGAATCTCCACAGATCTGGAAGGCCACGATGCCGTTGTTTCAAAATGTTTTAAACGTGATATTCGTCATGAAGAGCTCGAGTTATGCTAGTCCTGTTACTTTAAAACTGTTGGGATGAAGTGGATGTAAACTTGGTACGTTTTCGAAAGAACAACCCATCTACCACCTGAGGAGCTTCAGGAAGTCTCCAGAAAAAGTTTATATATATTCTCTGTTTTTGAGTTTCTGGTATCGTAAATGAAGACTGGACATGTTTCCTAACACGTTGCAATCTGTTATCAGGCTACTCGACATTTAGCGACGGGTGGACCGAGTGAATCAAAGACAAACGTTCCGTTACTTGTTCACTTATACGTAATTTTGATGCAAAACAAGATAAGTCTCATACTTGAATTTTAACGGGTTTCAGTTTAAGAGAAACTTACCTAGGAAAACAAAGGGAAAATGTATTATCCTTCTAATAAAAAGCTTCAAAGCCCTTTTTTCATTCTAACTCTTTTTCAAGTTTTTCTGAGTTTTTCTTTTTTTTTGAATAATAATTAACGTGAATGCGATCTACATACCACGGTTAGTTTGTACTTTATGCACACATTATACAGAATTTTAAAGGCTATCTAATCAATTTTGTTATCAATAGATAGCTGAAGACGTGCTGGTTCTGAATATCTGCTCTGAAATCGCGTAACATAATTGAGTAAGCAAAGAATCTTTATTTCGTATGTAGTAACGATATCCGTAATCGGTTTTGTGTACCGTGATTTCTCGTCGTAGGAACCATTTTCAAAATAGACATTTATAT